ATTTTTATGCTAGTGTCATACTGTTTTGATGACTGTAGGTTTGAAGTATAGTTGAAATCAGAAGTGCAATGCTTCCAGCTTTGTTGTTATTTCTCAAGATTGCCTTTGTTATTCAGGTCATTTTGTGGCTTCACACAATTTTTAGGATTATTTTTTCTATCTCTATGAAAAATGCAATTGAGATTTTGACCAGAATTGCACTGAATCTATAGATGGCTTTGAGTAGTTTGGACATTTTAGCAATATTAATTCATCCAATCCATGAACTTGGGATATCTTTCAATTTATGTCTTCTTCAGTTCCTTTCATCAAAGTCATATAGTTTCAATATACAGATTTCTCATCCCCTTGGTCAAATTTATATCTAAGTACTTTATTGTTTTCAATGGTATTGTAAATGAGATTATTTATTTCTTTTCTTGGATACTTTGTTGTTAGTGTATAGAAATGCAGTTAGTTTCTATATGTTAGTTTTGTATCCTACATCTTCATTTAATTCATTGATTTGTTCTGAATGTTTTGGTGGAGCCTTCAGGATTTTCTATATGTAAGATCATACCATCTACTAACAAAGACAATTTACTTCTTCCCTTTTGATTTGGATGTCTTTTATTTCTATATATTGCCTAATTGCTTTGGCTAGAAATTCCAGTACTATGTTGTACAAGAGTGGTCAGATTGGGTATCCTTCTCTTGCTCTTGATCTTAGGGACAAAGCTTTCAACCTTTCACTGTTGAGTATTATGTTAGCTGCGGATTTGTCATATATGGCCTTTTATAATGTTGAGGTATATTCCTTATATACCCACCTTGCTGAGAGATTTTGTCATGAGAGCATGCTATATTTTTTCAAATACTTTTTCTTCATCTATTGAGATAATTCTATGATTTTATCTTTTATTCTATTAATGTGGTACGTTACATTTATTGATTTGCATATGTTAAACACATCCCAGGAATAAATCTTGCTTGATCATAGTATGATTCTTCTGATGAGCTGTTAAATTTGGTTTGTTAATTTTATTGAGAATTTTTACATCTATATTGATCTCAGATATTGGTCTATAGTATTCTTATTTTTGTTATGTCCTTATCTTGCTTTGTTATCAAGGTAGTGCTGGCCTCGTATAATGAGTTTAGGAGTGATCTTTCCTCTTTGATTTTTTGGAAGAATTTAAGAAGACTTTCATTAATTCTTCTTTAAATGTTGGTTAGAAATTAGCCAGTGAAACCAACTGGTTTGGGCTTTTCTTTCCTTGAAGGTATTTCATTACTGATTTAATCTCCTTTCTTGTTATTGGCCTTTTCATATTTTATTTCTTCATAATTCAGTCTTGGTAAGTTGCATATGTCTAGGTAGTTATCCGTTTCTTCTAGGTTATCCAATTTGTTGGCATACATTATTCATAATAGTTTTTTTCAGAACATATATATTTTAGGTGTATCAGTTGTAATGTTTCCCCTTTCTAATTTTATTTATTGGAGTCTTCTTTCTTTTTCCCTTAGTCTAGCTAAAGGTTTATCAATATTATTTATCTTTTCAAACTATTACCTCCTAGGTTTGTTGATTTTTTTTTATTGTTCTTTTAGTCTCTATTGCACTTATTTCTGCTCTGATATTAGTTATGTCCTCCCTTCTGTTAACTGTGGGTTTTATTTTTTCTTCTTTTTCTAGTTCATTGAGGCACAAAGTTAAGTCTATTAGAAATCTCTTTTTGTCATTTTTAATACAGGCATTTATTGATATAAATGATCACCTTAGAACTGCTATCATAGCATCCCATATGTTTTAGTTTCTATTTTCATTTGTTTCAAGATTTTTTAATTACTCTTTTGATTTCTTCTTTGACCCATTGGTTGCTCAGGAGTGTGGTATTTAATTTCCACATATTTGTAAAATTTCCAGTTTTCCTCCTATTTTTGATACGTTTCATACTATTGTAGTGAGAAAAAAATACTTGGTATAATTTCAATCTTCTTAAATTTGCTAAAACTTGTTTTGTGTTATCTGATATTCCTAGACAATGTTCCATGCATGCTTGAGAATATGTATTTTGCTGCTATTGGATAGAATATCTGTATATGTCTGTTAGGTCCATTTGGTGTACAGTATGGTTTGAGTCCAATGTTTCTTATTAATTTTCTGTCTGAATGATCTGTTGTTAAAAGTAGGGTACTGAAGTCCCCAACTATTAATGTATTGTGTAATTTCCTTCAGATCTGTTAGTATTTGCTTAATATATTTAGGTCTCCACTGTTGGGTGCATATATACTACAATTATTGTATCTTCTTGATACATTGGACACATTTTCTTTATATAATGACTTTCTTTGTCTCATTACCATTTTTCACTTGTAGTGTGTTTTGCCTGATATAAGCATAGCTACTCTTGGTCTCTTTTGGTTTCCATTAATGTGGAATATCTTTTTTCATCCCTTCACTTTCAATCTATGTGTGTCCTTAAAGCTGAAGTGAGTCTCTTGCAGGCAGCATATAGTTGGGTCTTGTTTTTTTATCCATCCAGTCTCTCTATGCCTTTTGATTGAAGAATTCAATCCATTTACATCAAGGGTAAGTGTTAATAGGCAAGGATACAATACTGGCTTATTGTTTTCTGGCTTTTTTTGTAGTTCTCTGGCTCCTTTCTTCCTCTCCTGCAGCCCTCCTTTGTGAATTGGTGATTTTCAATAGTAGTATGCTAATTCCCTTTTCTTTACTTATGAATCTACTATAGTTTTTTGCTTTGTGGTAACAACCTAACTTCAACTGCATATAAAAACCCTACTCTGGGGCACCACAGTGGCTCAATCAGTTGAACATTCAACTTAAGCTCAGGTCATGATCCCATAGTCGTGGGTTCAAGCCCTACATTGGGCTCTATGCTGACAACTCAGACCTAGAAACTGCTTTGGATTCTGTGTCTCTGTTTCTCTCTGCCCCTCCCCCACTCCCACTCTGTCTCTGTCTCTCAAAAATGAATGATCATTAAAAAAAAAATTTTAACTCTACCCTTTCTTTTATGTTCTTAATATCACAATTTAGGGGCGCCTGGGTGGCTCAGTCAGTTGAGCGTCTGACTTTGGCTCAGGTTTTGATCTTGCGGTTGGGGGGTTCGAGCCTCGCATTGGGTTCTGTGCTGGCAGCTCAGAGCCTGGAGCCTGTTTTGGATTCTGTGTCTCCCTCTCTCTCTGCCCCTTCCCAGCTCATGCTCTGTCCCTCTGTGTCTCAAAAATAAATAAAGCATAAAAATTTTTTAAATCACAATTTATCTCTTTTCATATTGTGTATCACTTAAAGGTTATATGAATTGTAGTTTTTTTTAATATTCTGTCCTCTAACTTTCATACTAATATTTAAGTGGTTAACATACCATCTTATTATAGTATTAGAATATTCTGAATTTGACTATATATTTACCTTTACCAGTGTTGTATATTTTCATATGTTTTCATGTTACTAGTTACCTTCATTTAAGTTTCAAGAACTCCTTTCAGCATTTCTTGTAAGGCAGGTCTAGTGGTAAAGGATTCCTTATGCTTTTGTTTGCCTGGGAAAGTCTTTATTTTTCCTTAATTTCTGAAGGATGATTTTGCTGGGTTATACACTTTTATATGCCTTTGAAATGTCCTGTGTTGCTCAGGTCACAGCTATATTCAAGAACTGTATTTTTTATATTATGTAGGAAATCTGAAATAGCTTAAAATACACACATTTTATATATGATCTTATTTGAATTGAGGGTAGACTTCTATGATAGAATATTTTCCTCATGATTCTAGGCCTTATAACCAAAATAAAACATTAAAAATCAATTTACTTAACACATTAGTGTCTGAAACTTAAACTTTGGCAGGATAATTTAGTTGTCAGATTCAGAAGGTTTCCAAAGAGACTTTAACGCATCTAGAGAAAGAGAAGGATTCTGCTGTCACAAGATGTTAGCTATTTTGTGTTAAATGTAAGAATTCATGACAGTGCTCACATTCAATATTTTCTTATTGCTAACACATTTCTTGATTATCTTATACTTCAAGTAGCTTCCCACTGCTAACATAAATCTTACTTTAAAGTAAAGAACTCCACATAAGTTTATCTGCCTAACTATAACATGTGGTCTAAAAATTAGACCAGAGGGCAGGAAGGTGCAAGCACTTAATGACAAAAGAAAAGGAGTAAGAGAGACATGTGATGGCACCATACTTGATATAACTTTTACATTTGCTCTGGTTCTATACCTCCAGCCTAAGTGCTCTTTAAGGTTCCACAGAAGAGTCTTCTAACACCGTAGGAGGAAGTACTTTGTGATCTCTACCTAACCCAGGGTGATGACAGATGGAAAAGGTGAGGAGGAGTGTCTCTTCTTTGAATTTCATTTCCTCTCGTCTACAACAAATATTCCAGATTCTCTAGTATGACTTTGTATTTAGACATTTCTAAATGCTTATGAGGAAAGATGGTTAAAGACTTCAGAAGAAACCATGTTCCTTTTAAATATTTCTATGCTTACTTTACACTCATTCTTAGAGTAAAAATTTTTAAGATAGTTTCAAATCATTAACAATATAGCATAACAGCAGTAGAGACTATTTTGGCTCTTAAAATATAAGTGAACAATTTTAGAACATATGAATGTACACAGCTTGATGAAGAGATTAGTATACAATCCAAATATTATTTTTTTCTGTGAGAAGAGATAAGATGACAACTAAAGCAATCAAATTATTCTTTCAACTAGCTTGCTATTTCTTGAGATTAACATCTGTAGCCTTTGAGTGCTCATTATATCTAAATAGATGTGGAAATAAAAAGAAGTGGTATTGTCCTGGAAACTGTTATAATCAAAGCAATAATAAAACCTTTTTGGATAACTGAATTTTTATTTCCTTAATAGCTTCACTCAGTGAAAACATGCTTAAAGATTATAAACTGAGGAAGATAAGGAATCAATATAATTCAAAAGAAAAATGAAATGTTCTTGTGTTATAAAATATGTACCTACCTTTGTGGAATGTAGAACATATGTTGGGGAGGCGGTTTATAGAGAACTCCTTCATACACAGGCCAGAGCCCACTTAAAATTCTGAAGAGAGAACTTTTTCCACAACCATTGGGACCAGTTATCAAAAGATGCATTCCTTCTTGTACCTAGAGTAAGAAACAGAATTACACACTGCAATATTTAAAAGTGATTTCATTTGGCAGTATTTAAAAGCGATTCATTCTTTAAAAATTTTCAAACACATGATAACCTAGGACTGGCAAGGATTAAAAAAAATATCAGACTGAGAACATCAAATTTGGCTTTGACTTTTCTCTGATGCTAAAAGCATGATAAAAGAATCCAACTCCAAGCGAAATGGATCTTCTTGGAATGGGCACTGGATTTCCAAAATTTTAATTGAGGTCCTGTCATCAGATACTATACACATGTAGAAACGTAGCCACATGGAAGATAAGAAAGTATAAAATTTTAAATTAACATATATTAAATTTGACTTTATATTAATATTTGGCTAAATTTATACTGAATTCAAATACAACTTTGTTGTATTTGTCAGTTGGAATTATTAGCTATAAAGCAAAGTTTATTCTAAGATCCAGATGTGTAGTTTAATTTTCTACTTCAGCAGTCTGAAATGTTACACAATCACAAAAGCTCATCAGAGAGATGAAATGATTCTAATTCTGTTTTGTTCACAGATGGAGAAAATACATTTACCAAGCCAAGAGAGAGGAAAGCAAGAAGACTGTAATTTAGTTTTATGTCTAGGAATAGATTAAAACACATACATATATATATATATATATAAATCACAGACACACACACACACACACACACATATCACAAGTTATTTATCCACTATCAGTTGGATGCTTCTCTTTAGAATCTTCCATCTTATTTATCATTTAAATTTAAACAGTTAAGTTTCATGAGTTCCCATTCCACCCAATAGGATCAGGGATTTGTCTTACTGTGGTATTTAAAAGGTATTGTAAAAAACAAGGAAAAAGAGCACTTAAAATTTTGCTCTAAGAACACTGATAAGAACGTTTCCAGTAACAAATGATATTTTGTAATCAGTGATTAAAAGGTGAATACAGCATAGGGGGTGCCTGGGTGGCTCAGTTGGTTAAGCATGCAACTTTCACCTAGGTCATGATCTCGCCAGTCCCGAGTTCAAGCCCTATGTCAGGCTCTATGCTGTTAGCTCAGAGCCTGGAGCTGTTTAGATTCTGTGTCTCCCAATCTCTCTCTCTGCCCCTCCCCCACTCGCATTCTGTCTCTATCTCTCAAAAATAAATAAACATTAAAATTTTTTTTTAAAGTGAATAGAGCATCAACGTATGAGAGACAGAAATCTACTGTAGGCTTGTAGATATAGTTTTGTATAAAATGGACACAAATATCTAAGTATCAATGATATAGAATGTGTCATATTTAAAACTCAATGATGAAGGAGAACTTGGGTGGCTCAGTCTGTTAAAGGCCTGACTCTTGATTTTGGCTCGGGTCATAATCTCACAGTTTTTGAGATTGAGCACTGAGACTCTGTGCTGTTAGCCTGTGCAGAGCCAACTTGAAATTCTCTCTCCCTATCTCTCTGCCCTTCCCCCCACCAAAATAAATAAACAAACTTAAAAACAAAACACAAAAACTCAAAGGTGGAAAAACACTATATTACTTGCATTATGTCAGTATAAGGGATCACTTCCATGTCTACACATTGTGTGTAACATAAATTGGAATCTTTTTGTTGAAAGAAGGTGGTGGGAAGAGGAAGGAAGGGAAGGAAAAACGAAGGCTTGAGAAGGAAGTGAAGATAAAGGGGCCAGGGATATATATATAATAAGTATATGTAAAGGGGAAAAAAAGGTTCAGATTTATATTCTGTCTAAATAATTGGACATTTCCTTAGTAAGAGTGAATATTTACCATGTGCCAGGCCTTTTTCCAGGCACAAGGGATACAGTGCTACCCAAGACAAATTTCTGTTCTCATAGAACTTATATCCCAGTGGGAAAGATGGCAGGAAACATGTGAACAAAAATTAAGTAGTGATAAATACTTTTTATAATGGCAAAAGAAGAAAGATGTGTGTGGGAAAGATGGTAGCATTGTGGGGTTGGTGGAGTGTGTGTGCGTGTGTGTGCGCGCGCGCACGCGCGAGCAAGGAGGGGGTTGCTTCTTTTTAATGGGAGGTCAGGAAAATCCTTTTTGAGAAGGTAACATTTAGGCTGAGCCTGTGTGACAAGAAACAGCCAATCAGAGCTGGAGAAAGAACATTTCAGGCACTGAAGGCAGCTACCACTGGACGTAAGACAGGAGTGAGCTTGAGTCTAAACGTTTTACTATAGATATTTTGTCTACCTAATTGTAGCCAACTGAAAAGCTATTTTGATAGAATAAAGTTTGAAGAAAATCCTGGGAAGAACCCAGAAAGAACTAATTTTGTGATTTGCTGTGCTCTTTCACTAGAGAGAGGGTTAAGGAAGTTTAATTTTGTAAAAGCATGAATACTTGCCAAATGATTTTTTTAAAGGTATGTGGCATGGCAAAAGGCATATTCAAAAAGTATTTTCATAGCATCATTCTCTGTTAGGAATTCTCAGGAATTTAACACACTTGAGTCATAATAGAAGCTTTTTCTACATTGGTATTATTTTACTGGTGTAAGTTTTCTTTTGTTAAATAAATAGTGTGAAGCAAAAATAATTCCCACATTCATTGAATTTTCCTTACCAAATAGCTAATTCCACAATGCTAACAAAAGGATAACAACATTTTCCTCTAGAAACCTGTTTGTCAATGTGTACATGGGAAACAGAATTTTTATTATATTTGAGGGATCTGACACTTTTTAAATTAAACTCCCTGAATAAACAAAGCCAATTATCATAAAGTATAGTAGATTAACATATATATTTGTAGAACTTCAAAATTCATGACATTTCCTTAGATTCAGTATTTTTAAATTCATTTTATATAAAAAATAAACTGAGTCCTGAATTTTTTTTACAGAAAGAGTGTGATGTGTCCACAATAACATAGTTAGGAGGCGGTATAATTCAAGACCCTTAATACTATTTAATAAATGGAACAACAAGAATTGATACTATAAAACCTAACCTGACAAATTCTGTGTAACAAGTCATAAATTATAAATTGCTAAACCATTAATAAATAATTAAACATTCCATATATGTCTCTTCAAATATTTTATTTCAAGTCTACTTAAGACTATGGTGCATTATTAGCACCTAATTGGTACTCATATCAGATCCAAAAAATTAAATCATTCTGTAAGTCTATAAATAGAAAAATAAAGCCTAACCAAATTGAAGGTTAAATACAATTTCTCAGGCACCTGGGTGGCTTAGGTGATTAAGCGTCCAACTCTTGATTTCAGCTCAGGTCATGATCCCAGAGTCGTTGGAGTAAGCTCTAAGTCAGGCTCTGTGCTGAATGTGGAGCCTGCTTTAGATTCTCTCTCTGCCCCTCCCCTATTCATTCTCTCTCTCAAAACAAACACAATTTCTCTTATATTTATTAACACAGAATTTCCCCATGTTCAGTACTCATCATCTTCCAGCATCCTTATTCATTGGCAAGCACAATTTTAATAATTAAACCTAGACTGAGGTCCATGCCAAAATCATTAGTATGTGTATTGTCATGTTTGTAATTCTGTTACCAAGTCCAATCATGTCTTTGTAAATTTAGATGCCTTCATTGTAGTCATTAATGCTTATCAGTAAATTATTGTGTACTTGAATTCCAAAATGTTTGTTTAAATTTTACAATGCTTTAAATTAGGGCCTCAGGTTTATTGAGCAATTTTTACTTTTTGGTTTTTGTTATCAAGACATAGAACAATAAATAACAACTCTTAATCTCAACAAAATTAAAAACTAAAATCCAATCCATGAATCTTCTGATTATTTTTTGCTAATAGAAGACGTGATTATTGGAAATATAAATTATATTTAGAGAATATATTATAGCAGAAGTAAATTTGCTAATGACCTCTTCCTTATATTTTAGTACATATATTCAACATAGTCTTGTATATTTTGAGTAATCCCTATAAGGAAAAAATTAAAATTTATTTCCAGATATTAATTTCTGAGGAATTTTTGTATTGTTCCCAAAAGTTACCTTGAATGGGCCCTCAGTGCACTGAGAAATTTTGATTTTCACCCCGGTAAAAAAGCAGTAGAAATCAAATTTCTCTTTCTCTTTGCTTTCTGGGGAACTGCTTCTGTAACTGAGCCACTATGCATACCTTTCTTGATTTCCCCTCCTTTCCATATGCTCCTCCAAGAATTTAACATAAGGTACATGAATTCTGAGTTGTTTTGTATTAGTGTGATGGCAACAATCAGAAGATTCTTGAATATCATCTTACTTTGAAGTTTAGCCTGGAAGCCACCACTTCTCCCGTTGGTGTAATTATGGGAACATTTTCACAAATAATTCCATGATCCACATCAATAACTCTTCCTAAAAGTTAAGGAATAGTTTAAGTTATAAAAGCTATTATATATTGTATCTACATCTAAAAAAAAAAGGTTGAATGTAAATTTGGACATTCTCACGCATATATTTGGAAAATATTTCTCAGAAACATCACTGTACAATAATCTAATGTCAACATCATAATGACAGCATAATGAGATAAACTCTATCTGATATAACCCAGCTATATTCTTTACAATTGCTTATTTCATTAAATTAAGCTTCCCTACAGAAAAAAAAAAACAACAACACAGTGCTGCAATATGGGAATTAAGATGTGGAATAACACAATTTTTTAAAAGTGACAATTAAACTTAAGTTTAAAAACATAGATTAATGAGGAACAATAAAATGTTAGCTCTAATTCTGAATTTAAAAGCAAAGAATTCATTCTGCCATATGTTCAATTTCTAAAAATAATTCTAGAAATTTGTGCTAAATAAAATAGCGTAAATTTTTTATGGTAATGTTAGTCACCACTCCTCAAATTGTGACACTAACCTTAGAAATAATTGTCTAAATAAGTAATTATTAGCTCTTGGTAACTAATAAAAGAGATCTTCTAAAAAGTTTTGTTCTGTTGATAAAGTAAACATTTCAAAATAGGAAAACGTAAAACACTTGCTTTAATACCTTTGATTTCCAGTGTGTCACTGAGGGGTAATTCTATGTCAACTCCATTCTTGCTATGGTTTTCAGACTCTTGCATGACAGCAGCTCTCTTATAAATGCCTCTTTTTACTTCATCAAAGACACAAAACATATTATACACTCGAGCAGTATAGCCTGCTAATTCTGTGATCTAAAATCAACACAGAGACAAAATAGAGTTAATATACTCCAGATAGTCTTTTAAATAAATATGTGATCTATTAGCTTCTTGATTTAATGTTGAGGATCTTATTTCATCATACATGAAAAATTAATACATTGATAACTATAAAAAGTACCAGTTAAAGGCAGCAAAATAACAAAGTGTCAATGTAAATTTGATTGGAGTTATAAAACCCATAAAAAATTATTCAAGTCAGGGTTCAAAATAAAATGTAAAGATTTCAGAATGTTAGTGAAGCTTAAAGATATTTCAGTCAAATTTCTGATTTGGCTCCTATTTACATGACAAATTTTACTTCCAGAAAATTAGAAATTTTGCGAATAGCTTAATGTCATTCAATGAAATAACAATCCTTTGTTTTGATATCTTTTTTTAAAATGGAAGATTTTAAATATAAGAAAAATATGGGTTTTTTTCCTTATTGTGCAATGACTGTTTCTGAGTCAAATTGATTGTCAAAATTCCTAAGCTTTGCCAAAGAAAACACTGTCAGAAGATATCAATACTGGAAGTGAGCTGAGTGAAAAGCTTCAAATCCTTTTCAGTCCAAATCTCACAAACCAGCTTCTTTTCAAGCCAAACATGATTTACATGCCCAAAGAAAAACATTAAATCTGACTTTTATTCTGGGTGAGATTAAAAATGAGATAAATCTCTGTTTTAGTCCCTGAGGCTCAGTAAAATGGTATCTTGCTCTTACTCTGCCAGTTGTCCAATTTAGGTTGAATCTCCTGCTGTTTTTCTATTAAAAGAGCACCTTGTTATCAGGGTAATGTGAAAGGTGATTCATCTCATGTCAAGACCATCTTTCTCAGTGAAAAGAAACGCACAAAAGCCATTCCCTTATGGGAATATTTACTAGGAAATTGGCACCAATAAGCAAGGCATGTCACTAATAAATTGTGGAATAACACCACAATGCTGACATTTGTGTAAGATTTATGTGTGTGCAAAGCCTAAGCCATAAATGAGTATGTGTAGTTATCAGTAGCCTTCCACTACATGTCTCTACTGTATGAGAGGTCTGTATTTAGTACTTCAATTCTGTATATTAATGTTGTAACCAAGTAAGCGGTAATTTCTAAAATGTTATCTAGAAGAATTCCTTGAGTTCCCAAGTGGAGGAAAACAGCTAAGAATTAACAACATACAGATTCAAAAGAAACTCAGGTAAATGTATTTGTATAGAGGAAAAAAATCCAAAACGAAATGTGCGGGTTAGAGAAAGGCAGGAGGCAGTGAGTTAATATACTAGGATGCAGAGTGGAGTGGGCAGAGTGAGAATATGACTGTTGACAAATCACTTTGGGATACAAGGCAGGGAGTTTGCCCTAGGACTCATTCTAGAAAGGAATCTTGTCTCCTCTGGAACCAGCAGAGAGAATGCATGGTGCTTGCATGTGTAAAATTCTTTAGACATGAACATACTATGATCCCAAGTATATTCAGGGAAAATTAAGCAAAATGAAATTATTTCTTGTATTGGATACAATATAGAAAAGACTAGTCAGTTTCTGTGAGTTATGTAGCAAAGTATTTTAATATGAGATGGGTAAATTTTTGGTTTGTCATTTAACTTTAGTAAATGATTTATTACATCAAAAAACCTATCTTAAAAACTATATACAGATTATCAAAATTAGTATTTGGAAAAAAAATTTAAAGCTGAATTGTTTTGGTATGTGGCCCTAAACAATTGGTTTTACTTTTTAAAAAAAATCCATTTCAGTAAGTCAGTTGTTGAATGACATTGAAAACTTTTGTCAGTAAATCACAAACGTCATTACTCTTTTATATGGTCTATTCAAGGTTGATTTAATAAGCAGATAAATTTATAATATTGGTCTGGTGATTCATATTGATACAAAAGCCACAAGAATAAATTAATGCTGAAAATGATTGGCCATGGGAATATTATATAATTATCTGAAATAAATAATTTCTAATTTTAACCCTGTGATATCTGCAGGTTTACTATCATTCTTTCAGCAAGTATTTCTTGACCACATACAATATTCCAAGTATTAAAATGATTAGGAATGAAAGATGAGTAGATTGCTGCCTTCCACTCAGGGTATGGTGAGGAGATAGACAGCTGTCATGTGGTAAAGCACCAGATTTACTGGGACACGGAGAAGAAAGACCCAGACTCTGCAGGTAAGGTGGGGAAGAAGGTGGAATCACAAGAGAGTTTTTTACGTGATTGGTGAGGCTTGACTTGTCACAAAGGATGAGTAAAAGTTTGCAATGTATATAAATAATATTATCCACTAGCAGTGATTGAATTCCTAAATATGTGTTACTTTTATAATGATGATGATTTTTTTAATGTCTATTTAGTTTTGAGAGAGAGACAAAGAGTGAGTGGGGGAGGGACAGAGAGAAAGAGAGGGAGACACAGAATCCAAAGCAGGCTCCAGGCTCCGAGCTGTCAGCAAAAGCCCCATGCAGGTTTCAAACTCAGGAACCATGAGATCATGACCTGAGCCAAAGCTTGGATGCTTACCTGACTGAGCCACTCAGGCACCCCTGTTGTTTTAAATATCCTACATATATTGACTCAACAACCCAACTTTCATTATCTCCACTTTACAGAAGAAGAAACAAATACAGACAGGTTGAGGAACTTGATCAAGTTCACATAGTTTGTAAATATCAAAGCAACCTTTTAAATGTAGGTGCTCTGGTTCCAGAATCCATACCTAATTAGGCTTTTTAAAAATTTTTAAATAAATATGTCATGTTAAGGGCATGTGTGTGGCTCAGCTGGTTGAGTGCCCCACTCTTGATTTGGGCTCAGGTCATGATCTCACCGTTCTTGAGATCAAGCCCGCAAGTTGGGCTCCCACTGACAGGGCTGAGGCTGCTTGGGATTCTTGCTCTCCCTCTCTCTCTGCCACTCCTCTCCTGGTGCACTTACTTGCACTCTCTCTCAAAATAAACAAATAAACATTTTTTAAAAACCCAGAAGTACAGAATACTATACACCTCAAAAGGGGAGTTTCAATTGAGAGTGTAAGAATCAAAGAGTATTAACAACAAGACACTTGGGAATTACTGCCCTTTATCTTGATTATACTTTAGGAATTATTAGTGGAGAAAAGATGTTTCCATAATGCTAAGTTTATCTGATAATTTACATTTTTCTTGATTTTCAAATATTTTTTTTTACTCAAATTGACAAGAAATGCCGTGTACCTCTTTGTATGAAGACATAATCCTTTCAATAGCATCAGCTCCAGAGGCCAGTAAATTTCGAGCAGTAGTAAAAGCTTCTGTCCGTTCACTAACCATAGCTTGTTTTTGGCCATCCTCCAGATCTAAAAGCAAATTACAAAACTATTGAGTTTTTCAAGTAACTATTTTATTTTTACAAATGAAATGGGGACTAAAAAACCCACATGTAAATTTTTCATTAGTATCAGCAATTTTCTAGAAATTTAATGAATTACTGCAAATACAGTATTTATACCAGATTTTATTTAAAGCTTCCTTTTGTTTTACTATCTTTTTAGGAGAGAGTTAGAACAATGAAATTACCAATTAAGACTGTTTTCACTTAGCATTTTTTCAACCCTTTCCAAATTCAACATTTTGCCCTTCTTACAGTTAGGCAATAAAATACCAGTGATTTGGCCAATAAACTACTAATAACTGGAATGTAAGCAAATATTTCTAGTGTGGTTCCTTCAATAGAAATGCAGATTAGCTTATCTTCATAATCTAGACTCAGTTTATCTGTTTCACCCAAACTGTACCTACAGCATCTCAAACATACAATATTTCATTCACCCCAAACACAAAATTCTGTTTATCCTTTGGTATTTGCATATTCTATTTCTTCTGAAAAGGTGTATATACCATTAGTATATATACTTAATATACATCCCTTCCTTTTTTGCCTAGCTCTTTCTTTAAGAAAGTCAACTCTTTAAGACATATTTCCCTTGAAACCCTCGTCTGCCTTTTCTAATTATAAGCTCCGTAAGAGTCAAGGTTATTTTTTATTCTTTATTCCCAGTACTCACCAGAGTGTCCAGAACACAGTACATCTCAATGTGTATTAAATGCATGGATGAATAAATGAATAGATGGATGAACATCCTAAATTACTGTCAATGCAGAATTACGGTGAAGAGTAGGAGTTAGGCTAGGTTTGAATCAGGCTTTACTACTTATTGACAAATGGTGAGAGAAATAAAACAAGCCAATGATCTTGTTCATGCCTATTTTCTCATGTGCAAATGAAGGAATTAATACTAGTATCTTAAATAATTGTATCTCAAAGGATTGCTGTGTGGTTTAAAGGTGAAATACAAATGAAGTATTAGCCTAATCCATGGCTTCTAATAAGTGCTCTAAATGTTAGCTGTTACTACTTTCTCTGGTTATTACTGCATGTGTACTCAATTTAGTCTTATTCTTCTAAATTATTCTCCCCAGTCATTACTTTAAACTTCCCATCAATAGGATTCTCAATATGGTTCCTCTATAAATTATCTCCAAAGTTCTAAATTAAATACTGTAAATTAATGAAAGATATATTAGAATGATATAAATAGTCATAGGCCCATTTTGATATATATTTCTCTACGGTTTATCTCAAAGGGTTTTTTTTGTTTGTTTGTTTTTTGGTGTTTTTTTCCTACAACAGTCTAAATATACAAGTTGTGCCCTGCTAGCACTACGAGATACTTTTACGTTTACTTGCTCATAAATAGCTCTAGCTGACTATGAAAGGGTTCTATGCATAAGGTAAAATTCACTCAGCAGATATTTACTAAACAACTAGATTGTAAGAAATTAGGCACAGTATTATAAGACATGCAAGGATAAATGTGATTTTTAGACTCTTTCCTTAGGGGACTTAGTTTGGTAGGAGAGAGAAGACAAGTTCCTAAATAACTATGCAGGGCAGCCTATGACAAGAGTTAATGTGAGGTGTTTGGACAAGGCAAAAATCAGTTCTTCCTGCAAGACACAGGAAATGTTTCATGGAGGAGCAGACTGTGACAGAGGCCTTGAAGACTACATAGAATTAATAAATCACAAGCACAGCATAAGTAATGGCACAGAGAAGGGAAATTTCAAGCAATGCCAATTGGATGATACAGTCATCAGGTCACAGTATGGGTGTTGTCAGGCACAGATTTCACTTGAATATCAGAATCATCATGTATTCCTGGAGACATTTTATAATAATCCAATATGGTCCCTCCTGGCCCTACTGTTAACCGCTGCTCCATAGAACTACTGTTAGTTCTCTTGAAGTTAGAGTCCTTGAAGAATGTGAAAAGAAAGGCAATAAGTGCTGTTAGAAGTGAGGAGTGAGGGATGTGACTGGATAACTAGACTGGGAACAGAATGTAGATATTCTTAACACATTTAAATGTGTGGTAAACTTTAGATAGCCACAAAAAAAAAATTATGGAAGGATTCTCAGCAAGCTACCACAATAATGAATTGCTATTCCGTTAACGTTCTAAGAATAGTTTTGGCTCATAGAGAATCTGGCTGATGATCTAAAATAATTATGGAGTTTTATGAATTTGGGTTAAAAGGGGTTTGAGTAGCAGCTTTCATCAACAGTCTCTGTTAAGAAGGAAAAACACTAGCACAGATGGACTTGTGCTTGAAATGACATGGTACTTTCCATGTTGCTTTGGCAGATTAGTGCTTACTGGGTTTTCTTCATGCTTTTAGCAACAAAATTACAAATAGCTGTGGACAGATTTCATTTCACTTTTATTCTATTGGTTGCTTTTTGGCAGGTACGATGAGGACTGTGCCAGTAGTATTTGTCATGCATACAACAGCCAATTGCATAACTTCTATGAAAAAGCCAAATTCTCTAGTGTCAGAATATAAATTCATGACCTAAGGCACTCACGTATTTTGTATCATAGGTCATTCTATTTTCCTCACCAAATAGTTTAAATATTTTGTCAAATATTTCTCATTTAAGGATGTAATATTTAACATTGTATCTGCTCAGTTTAGTGCAATCTTTCAGCTCTGCTAATAAAAAGTATATATTGAAAGATGATAACATCTGTTGTTATTCACTGGAAAGATGAGAAAAAATTTAAAAACTAAGGTTATGTCATGATGCACTTGTCAAAACCCCTACACTGTACAATGCAAAGAATAAACCCTAAGTAAACTTCAGTTAATAATGTGTGCATATTGGTTCATCAGTTGTAACAAATGTATCACACTAATACAGGATGTAAATAATAGGGAAAGCTGTGAGAGAAAGGAGATATTTATTTGGAACTCTTTGTCCTTTCTGCTCAATTTTTCTGTAGATCTAAAACTGCTCAAAGAAAATCAAGTCTCTTAACTTAGTTAAGTAGGCTTCATGTCCAGCATAGAGCCTCAAAGGAGGGCTTGAACTCACAAACCTGAGATCCAGACCAGAGCTGAGATCAAGAATCAGATGCTAAACTGGCTGAGTCATGGAGGCACCCCAAGTCTATTAATTTTTTAAAAATTAAAAATGTATGTTATTCCTCTGTACTTTTCTCTCTGGACTTATAATTTGAGTTTATTTCACTTCATTTGCAGTTTATCTTTATCACGTTGAGAAATCTCAGCAAAATCTTATGGTCTTTCCCTGCTTCACACTGTATATAAAGATCAATTCTAATTGGGTTGAAGATTTCAATGTGAAATGAAAAACCAATAAATTTCTAGAAGATAAAATAGAATATCTTCATGGCCTTGGATTAGGCAAATATTTCTTGAATAGGACATAAAACCACTAACCACACATAAAAATGATTGATAAACCAAACTGCTAAAATTATGAACTTCTCTTATACACTGTTAAGAGACTGAAAATGTTAAGAATAGAGTGGGGAAAGATATAAGATTGTGTAAGTGTATGTCTGACAAAAGTCACATTATACAGTACATAAGAGCTTTTACGAATCAATAAGAAAACAGATAAGCCAATTTAAAAGTGAGCAAAAAACGTACTGACACTTCATAAGAAAAGCTATCTGGGGCACCTGGGTGGCTCAGTTGGTTAGGCGTCCGACTTCGTCTCAGGTCATGATCTCGTGGTTTGTGAGACTGAGTCCTGTGTCGGGCTCTGTGCTCACAGCTCAAAGCCTGGAGCCTGCTTCAGATTCTGTCTCCCTCTCTCTCTGCCCCTCCCCCACTCGTGCTTGCTCTCGCTCTCTCTCTCAAAAATAAACATTAAAAAGTTTTTTTAAGAAAAGCTATCCAAAAAAAGCTATTCAAATGGCTGATAAACAAATAAAAAGTGCTTAATCTCATTAGTCATTAGAGAAATGCAAGTTAAAGGCCACCATGATTTATCACTATGCCTAAAATGAAAAAGACTGACATCAAACATTGACAAAGATGTGGAGCAACTAGCAATCTCCTGTGTACTGTATGATACTGTTTATACAAGGTTCAAACCCAGCAAACAGTAATGAATGGTCAGTAGAATAATAACCTTTACTGAGGCATACTGGGAACAGGAGTAAGTAGGGATGGGGACAGTGGGCTGAAGATGGGAATAAAACTGGAAAGGAGCATGGGAAATTCTGGGATGCAGGTGAGTTTCTATTTCTTGTGAGTGGTAATGATGTATATGTGTTAACTTTGTGTCAGTTCACTGAGTAGTACACTAATGACTGTGTCCTTTATTGCATGTATGTTATACTTTAAAAATTATAGCTATGTAATAGGCATAGCTAATTACAGCTAAAAAGTATGTCTTTCATATGTTTTGATAATTACTGTTACAATAAATTAGTCAACAGGAGAGGAATTAGATCCAAATTGACCCATAATATAAAATTATATTCCAGTAATTCGACATTAGAATATGAGACCTAACACAGCAGGAGTTATAAGTATGATTTTGTTGGAGGTACACTTTAAGAATAAAAATCATCACCCATGTTACTAAGTGATGATAGAGTTTAGTTCCATTCTTAAGAGAGTGTCTGTTGGTTACTACTTCTGATGTGCACCTTACGCTAGCAGACCACCAATAGGCAGATACTATTGGTAGTGCTAGTGGCTTAGATGCTTTCTTCCCTGTTATATGCCTGTGAAAAGCCTGACAAGAGATACCTAAAGTAGCTTTCTTTGGCTTTGCCCAGAACTGTTCTTGATATGAACAGAAGAAAAATGGCCTATGACATTAAAAAATTGAGAGATGATACCAGATGGCCAACAGACATATGAAAAGATGCTCAAAAATCACTCATCATGGAGAAAATGCAAGTCCAAAGTATAATGAAATATCATGTCATACCTGTCAGAATGGCTAAAATCCAAAACACAAGAAACAAGTGTT